TACGCGCAGGAAGTTAAAATTACAGTAAAAATAACTTTCTCTTCTTGGAAATGATGTGAAAATATGTTTATTCTTTGAAAACCAGCGTGTCCTGTGTACAGGCTTCACAATACGGCGAGTAATACCGCAGTAACATTGCTGGATACAAGCGTACATTGCCTTCGGGCGTCCTCAAATGTGATCATTATCAACAATTCGTTGTATAAAGCCGGCCATTCATTACAAAGGGCACTTGCGTTAGTGCGCGTATTGCCCAAAGACCATGTAGTGGGTGCATAGCGAGTTCGAAAAGATTTCACGTGCATAATTGCTCGTGATTTAATGCATGTGGCCCGCTACAGGTGATGCAGTCATATGTGAAAGCTGTACTGACAGAAGACACTTTATATTTTATCGATTAGATTTTAGAATTCTTCAATTTATGTTATTGAGGGACATCTTAGAATAGAATGTATGCACTTGTGATTAGACTATGTTCTGGAGAGTGCAAGATAAATGTTTATTGCGCTAGCAAATATATGGACACCCCAAGCTGGATTTTGCCGCCAGCGTCGGCGTCGATGTCATGCACCGTTCATATATATATATATATATATATATATATATATATATATATATATATATATATATATATATATATATATATATATATTTATATATATATATTTATATATATATATATATATGTATGTATGTGTGTGTGTGTGTGAAATATGAAAACGCAATAAAGAAAAAAGAAAAAAAATGGTCAGGAAAAAAAACATTTCCGAGCGCAAAATTGACCGTGAGACCTCTGTGTCGTGAAAGCAAGGCATTCACCACTTAGCCACCCAGAAGAACATCCTTCATTGTTCAAACGGCAAGCTATTTATATCTAGCACTTACCGCTGCTGTGTTTTTGGCATTACAAGAAAGATGGCACAATGATCGCACGTCGCCACATCGTGCAGAGGGATCTATCTTGGACAGTATGTGTGGATTGAGGTAAGACAAGGTCTGCAGGCGACGCCACGCTACCTGAGATTGTTTACGGAGTTTCCGCCCGAGGGCGGAAGTTTCCGTCTTTCGAGTCTTTCATGTTCTAGATATCTGTCCATGTTAGGAGCCGGTTCTTACGCATAGCCGAGGGTGGGTGCGATATGCCGGGTTCGGAGGTCCGGAAGAGTGGTTCTCGTCTCAGATAGATCCCGACACATACGCACCACAGAGCAGGTTCTGCGTCACTAAAACAGCCACCCTGTACCACATGATATGGAAATCTACAACCCAGAGCACAGCACAACACTCTACAACACAGAGCACAGCACAACACTGTAGGGCGGGAGGCAGCTCTGCCCAGCTCGGATCCGAAGACCCAAGAGGCCCTCGTGAGACGAGCGAGGAAAGCGGCCCATGCCAATGAAATCGCGAACTGAGGATCCCACTCACCAACATTCCTTCCTCGGTCGCGAATAAATGTTTGATTCTCTCATAGCGCAGCGGCGCCCGCTCTAATCTTCTACGCGTACTTTGCCCAGCTTAGAGAAGGAGAGTGGCTCCCTCGCGTGCCCTAATCTCGCGGTTGCAAAGAGGGAAGATCGTACGCATTGGTTGCCCTCAGGCTTTACGTGGAACGATTCTGCTGCAGTTACCGGGCGCACAAAAGTCACTGCAATCATTGCAGTCTTCGTTCGCAAAAAGCGCGCGCTTTTCAACCTCGGCGAAGTAACAAATGAGACGCTTATTCACGTGCATCCGTACCTGTGAGGACGTTTCGTGCGTAATTTGTGCGCGAGAAACGCGGGGCACGTTTCGATCTGCTTTCCATTCTGCGCGTAACCTTTCAAATTGTTGCTACCACGTTCATTGGCTCACCTTTGCGACAAAGCTGTAACTTTTATAGTGTACTAATTTGTACTTAGCTACAGCAGAAACCTGGAGACTTGCAAAGAGGGTTCAGGTGAAATTGAGGACGACGCAGCGCGCAATGGAAAGAAAAATGGTAGGTGTAACCTTAAGACACAAGAAGAGAGCGGGGTGGATTAGGGAACAAATGGGGATTAAGGATATCATAGTTGAAATCAAGAAGAGGAAATGGACATGGGCCGGGCATGTAGCGCGTAGACAGGATAACGGCTGGTCAATAAGGATAACTAACTGGATTCCCAGAGAACGCAAGTGGGTTAGGAGGAGACAAAAGGTTAGGTGGGCAGATGATACTATGAAGTTTGCGGGTATAAATTGACAGCAGCAAGCACAGGACCACGTTAACTGGCGGAACATAGGAGAGGCCTTTGTCCTGCAGTGGACGTAGTCGGGCTGATGTTGATGATGATGATGATGATGAATTCGTATTGTGTAGTAAGGGGGTGTGAACTAAATGTGGGATGGGAGGGAATTTGTGATAGTGAAGACGAGGAAAAGACGGAGGGAAGAGAGTAAAAAACATGGTGTGGAAAGAATGAAAAATACGGAAATAGAGAGAAGAAAAGGCAGAAAAAGGCAGACTGAACGAAATATATTGTTACGGAGATAAAGTAAAGATGAAGTCTAACACCATAACAATATAAAGAGAGATAGATAGGCAGAGGAAGGAAGCAAGTGTGAAAGAGAGAAAAAAGAGAAAACTAAATAAATATAGAAAGAGCAAGAAAAAGCCAGACACAATCGAGGATGAAAAAAAAAAAGAACAAAGAAGGATTAGAGAAAGTAAAACATAGAATAGACACTATGGGAAAGAAGAACGTATAGATACGTAGAAAAGAAAGTAATTAGAGAGAGAGTGGATTCAAGAAAAGAAAGAGAAAGAAAGGGAGGCTATCGAACGAAAGATTTTTCAAAGTGAGAAATAGAAAGAAATAAGAAACAAATAAAAATAAACTGAGTAAAAAAACAAAAATCGAAAAACGATAGAAAAAAAGACGGAGAGGTTGAAAAAGAGTAAAGTGAGGAGTAACAAATAAGGCTGCCAGGCTCTTCCTTCAAGCTAGGCGTAACTGAAAAGAAAGTACCTTAATTTTTTTTGGGGGGGGGGGGGGGGGGGGGGGGTGATATGGCAGTTTCATCTTTTTTTTTTTGAGGTAATTGGCATGACTAAATCAGGAGCGTAGTACCGCAGAGCTCTACCTTTGTTCTGTTCATGGTCACAATAGAAGGCATAAATATTAACTTTGACGATCGTCAACGGCACAGCACTGTGGCAAAGCATGTTTTCCTGCAAGAGCCAGCAAGAGCCCTGGGCTGTGGCAGCCGATAATCAGCGATGCTCCCATTGTGGGGCCACCAGGGAAAACTCTAATAACTCTTGCGATGAAGTTTATCGGCAGTTTTTGTCTTTCTCGTCATCTTACGTACAGTATGTTCTTTGGAAGACAAGCCTATACTGCTACGAAACTATCCCCAAGTAACCAATTTTTACGTTTTGCACAAAGGCCCCTCCCGGAGAACGTTCCAGTTTTCTCTCTGAGAATATTTTTTGATATTTGTTGATATACGCTAGTTTTTTGGAGCCGGCACTTACTATTTTGCATCGATGGCTGTTTTATCCGTATGCAAAGCTAGCATAGCCAAACCAGAAATCGTGCTAAAATGCGGCCGTGTTCATGCTCAAAGAAGACGAAGAAGCGAACGAAGAAGAGGAGCGTTTCCCGGCGATGCCAATCAGTCTTATTACATCAGTAATCATTGCAATATACTGCATGATGCGACGGAAACGACTTCCAAACATCAAGTCACGCCCACTGACTTTAAGGTTAGTGTTATCTGTTTACGTCGCATAGAGAAGTACTTTTCAGCGAACATGTTTCCATCTAGTCTAACTACGTCCTCATTGCTGACCTGTAACACTCGTGAAGCCTACAACTGTTCCGCAATTAGTCTTTTTTTGTCGTTATGTTATCACCAGAAAAGATAGTTTAGCGATATTGCGCTGCAAAGCTCGGTGGCCTGGTTGCGATAGTTATCAATATTGGCATCGTTTCGACGTGAGCGATAGGTGAAATCTCACCTGTGCTTATATTTAGTTGATTTAATTGATGTGTGGGGTTTAACGTCCGAAAACCACCACATGGTTACGAGGGACAACGCAGTGAAGGGCTCCGGAAATTTCGTCCACCTGGGGTTCTTGAACGTGCGCTCAAATGTGAGCACACGGGCCTACAGCATTTTCGCCTCCATCGAAAATATGTGCCTATATTTAGGTGCCCGTTACTGAAGTTGTCGAAATGAAAGAGTACCTAACAACAGCATTCCTCATATTATTATTGCTTCGTAAAACACGTGAATTTATTATTTTTAAAGCTTAGCGACACCAAGGTAAGTACGACATACCTTCCTCTTGCATTTGAACATATTAGTGGAATCACGAGAGAAATATAATGAGAACCATGCTTGCTTTGTGCAAAGTTCCGAAGCTGGCGGGCGTATTTGAGAAAAAAAATGACAATGGGCTATTTGGCTAAACATGATGAACGTGTCTTGCGTATGCTATGTGGCCTTCACTCTTTATGACGAGCCCGTATGGCGGGTTTTTATTGAGATCACGATGCACGGCCTGCACGAATGTATTTGCCGTGAATGTATGGACAAGTTTGTTGAACTGCAGAAAACTCAGAAGATTGTACTTGAGTGTATGTTGAGGGTAGAGCCCTTGGTAGCACTTAGGAAATTTTAGTTTGTGTCGGACGCTTACTGCTTGTTTCTGTTGTGCTTTTGGTTACATGTATGCGCCTATGAACAGGCAACGAAAAAAAAAATGAATGTGTCTTGCGTTAGTTTCACAAAACGAAACTGAAGAAAGCGACGAAGTACATACAGAAAACGTGTTTTGTACGTCTTTCAATGCAATCCCCAGTTCCTATTCGTAACATTTGCGCAAGAAACTTTCAGCGTATTTGCTCTTTTAATTTCGTGATGCGCAGTATGTGACCTTACGTTACACGTGATTATCTTCACGACGCAGGTTGCAGCTTTTTGTATTACTTCTCATCGGTGCGTGCTTGGTTGCCTACAAGACCGCAAGGATGAGGAATGTACCACTAGTGAAGCTTGGACACGCTCCAGGGCCACAACATTTTTCCAAGCCTTTAGTGCCGCTAGACCAGGTATTCATAGAGATCGACGCTGGTTCAGTGCGAGGAACCATTGTTACCACGTCGCAAGGCGTCAGCGTTCGTGCCTTCCTGGGGATTCCATTCGGAGAGTCAACGGAAGGTCGTAACAGGTTCCGCAAGCCTATACCGGTGAAAGCGTGGAATGGCACGTTCAACGCGACTAAGGCGAGGACTCCCTGCGTTCAAGAGTCATACCTGTCACAAGCCATGCGCATAGACAACGCGAACACTACCGAGGACTGCTTGCACCTGAACATCTGGGCGCCAATTCAGCAACACCCCACGGAGCCCAAGAAGGCAGTCATGGTCTACTTCTACGGGGGATCCTTCACGCACGGTGGCAACAGTTACTTCTTTTACGACGGTCGCTACATATCGAGCATCGGAGATGTCGTATTGGTCGTTCCGAACTACAGGCTCGGTGCTCTTGGGTTCCTGAACGCGGGAACGCCAGACGCGCCAGGAAACGTTGCACTGCACGACCAGATCCTGGCGCTTTCCTGGGTCAAGGACAACATTGCCGCTTTCGGGGGAGACCCGAATCGAGTCGTCCTCTTTGGCCAAAGTGCAGGTGCGATCTCCGTGAGCTTTCTGCAGATATCGCCCCTCACTCGCCACTTGTACAGGCGAGTCATCCTGCAGAGTGGCTCGGCTTTGGTGCCACTTCCTGAGAATAGCCGCGACGTGGCGCTCGCGAACCTGAGACACATAGCGAGCGCCACTAACTGCACCAGGGTGTTTCCGAACGGCAACTTGTCAACCGTGGACACAGTCAGCTGTCTGAGAACTGTCGATGCCAAGGCTCTCGTCGACGTGAAAGGCGCATTCTTCTATCCCTGTTTCTACGACAAGGTCCTACCACAGCTTCCGACTGAGCTTCTCAAATCCGTGGACTTCAGAGACCACGAAATGTTAATCGGAAACACGCTTCGTGAAGGTGACATGTTTTTTGAAGCGATGTTCGGCCAGAAGAGGCGGTCGTCTCCTGCGCCTGCAGAATCACGTCTCAGCTTGGATGCAATAGCCAAAGCGTACGACTTCTTCTACAAGCGGACTGGTTTCTTGAAAGCGCTGTTTACGCTGGCGCAAATACAGCGGCTGTACGACTTACTAGCCAGACTTACGAGGGATTCAAAGACGCCGTCGGGGATCTTTTGTTCAACTGCCCGACCAAGTTTTTCGCAAAGTACTTTGTAGAGCAAAATGGCTCTGCGTTCTACTACGTGCTGACACCCAGGCCATCATTCAGTACCTGGAATTCGACAGCTGCGACGCACACTGATGACGTATCGATCTTGTTTGGCCTGCCATTCATGCTCCCTGGAAAAGCTTCTGATGCAGAACGCTCTCTTAGCAGACGGCTCATCCGCATATGGACAACATTTGCAAAGGATGGGTGAGTTATATCTCCCTTCTCCATTCTTTTATTCATTAACCAAAGAAACAAATCAGGTCCATCAGCCGACCATCGAATGTCACAATATTGCACCGAGTCCCGTTAAATCCGCAAACAATTACGTCCAATGGTTTAATCAGGCATATTTCTTAGTGCAGATAGTTCATTGCCATCACATGCCAGTCTTTCTAAATAGACAAATGAAGCGCAACCACTGCGCGTGCGGACGCGACAGGACATAGCGAGCGCAGCTACCGAGATGCCAGGATGTTTGCGCGCGTGCCACCTGTCCATAGTGTAAGAGGACAGAGATGCAACATAGTGGTAATTTGAGGTAGAAGCTTCCTAGTAAATTTAGGGAAATACGGATTTGATCTAACTGAGTGCTAATAATCGATGTCAGGTACCCGTAAGCAAAAGTGACTTGCTGACGGCGCAAAACTTAACGACAGTGGTGCTATCTGTGCCCTCTATTTGATAAAATAATTTGGTTATTTAGCTATTTCTTTCACCGACATACTAAAGAATACATATAATTTTTCCACATATCTGAAGACACAAGAAAAACATTGCATGCTTAACTCTTGCGTGCTTGTACTCCTGATGAGTTCTGTGAAAAGTGCTGTTTCGATTAGCTCACCGAGCAATGCGATCGAATTTTAAACTATATAATGTCTGCAGTTGCTAACACAGTTCCTAGGGCACCGCTATAACCGTATGAGTGGTCACTCCTCTTCTTTCGGCAACCATGCTGTGGTGTGTCTTTCTAGCTGGTGTCCGAGGAGTAGTATGCTCTAATAGCGACGCCACCTAATGAAGCCTTTCTGTTTACGGCAATCTTTTTGGTTTTAATTTTTTTAGTACGAGATGATTCTAGGTAATCCCAACGATCAGCATGTAATCAGATGACACAGCCGATCAATGGAGACGAGCACAATAAATTCATTGATTTGTGAGTGCAAACACTGGTTCACCTTCGATAGCGTCATTGCACTCTTTGTCAATAACGGCACATATGTGGCAATGCGAAAATTCGTGAGCTTTTCAGCAGGGCCACCTCTGCTATGATCGCCATCGCCGCAATGGTTTTACAACAGAGCAACACACACACACCATATAACAAATTGATTGAACCTCCCCCCCCCCCCCCAAACTGTTTTAACATTCTCCTCGCCAACAGCATAGAAAGATAAACTCACAGGAGTGGCTTGCGCACTGACTCGAAGACGAACTCCATCTTTTCTTCATTTTCTTCGCAGCCAATGAATTGATTGTCCATTCCTCCCTTTCGAAGGTTTTCATCCCCTAACGTGGCTTTGCATGGCCTTCGGGATTGGAGGCTGTGCAAGCTTTTGACCAATCATTGCCTCTGTGGTCCGCCTACCTTTTAGCAAGCGATGACGTGTGATGACGTGATGCATTGATGGCGTCCCGTGATGTCATAATGGCCATATGTTCTCGTGACTTATGAAGTCAGGGTACTGTGACACGTTGGCGTTATCATGTGCTGATATTCACCTTTCTTGTTGACACCGACGCCAAGAAACGCTGACGGCGACAATCAATTTTCACGTTTAACGAGGCATAAAAAGCATTCTATTTAGTACACGAATATTGCAAGCATTGCCATCACAAAAGTGTGATGAAAAGTGACTTCACAGTCGTGGCACTTACCTTTTATTTTCTGCATCGTCTCACTTACGTTTTTTTCCTGCCTAAATTTGGAGCTCTCTGAGTAGGCCAGCCATGTTGAACGTAAACCAAAGGAGTTACTCCCTGCATTTCTTTGCTCCTCTTCAAAAGGAGCGTAATATTGCGCACACGGCTCATTTTTGGAAGACACGACGATTACTCAATTTTACTCTTACTCAAGATATGATTCGCGAAGTCACAACCTGTTGCACAAGAATAATGGCTTATACTTTATCATCCCGTGTCTGCCTGCTGCACTTGGTACTGACTGTATTCCAAAATGCCAAGTGATTTGGTCACTTCGTAACACCACATGGCGTTTAGATGTGGTTCTCCTGGTAGCTATTTGATCCGAGATCTTCGAGTGGCGCCCTCTCGCGTGTGACGTCAGAAGAAGGACACGGGTGCCGCTCATCACTCGCGCGTTTGGTATATGTTACTTGACGCTGCCAACTAGTTCATCCCGCTCGACAGACCGAAATATTAGTGGGCAAGTTCATAAAGCAATTCAACTGATTGTTCAAGGCAAATGCTCTGTGAAATCATGTGGAGTGGTGGTCAGCAGCACGTTCAGCGTAAATGCTCCTGATTTCACCCGATATCCATCACTGTGTACGTCTGCGAGGACTCGCTCGCTGGATTTCATGCCGACCGGCTGTGCCCGCGATCTCCGACGACAGCGCAGCTCCGGCCGACTGGCTCACCCTACGCCATCTCCTGACGCCTACAAGAGCTCTCGCTGAGTGTTGCCCCGTCCGCGGACTCTTGCGACCGTGCCCATCTTTCATATCTTCTCCTTACTTCCGTATGTGGCTGTTCCTGCCCCTCTCTCTATCTCTATACCTTTAATTCCTCCCTATCCTTTTAACCTCTCCTTACCCTCATCCCTCGTGAGCTACTGTTGAGGTGTCCTACCCCTGAGAGACAGTTATGGGGCTAAGTTCTATCTTCTTTTCATTTAAAGATCACCCTCCCCCCCGCCCCCCTGTACGTCTGCATGTATGGCAAGGATTTATTTTCCTGACTTTCCTTGGCCATAGCGCACACAAAATGACTTTCCATTTTCGATCAGAGGAGTCTTGATGTTAGAGATTCGGCATCCAAGTCTGCGATATAACACAACGTATGTGTAGCATGTGCTGGGCGGGTTTGATTGCCAAGCCTGCAGGTATGGTTTAATTCTATTGTTTGGAGTTTCAAGGGCACTACAAGTGACGTGTGATGTCATTGATATGAACTAAGAGGTCACTACAGGCCTTCGAGATTATATTGAAGTTTTAAGCAGTGGCACTCGAAGCACTTAGTAAGTATGTAAGGTTGAAAAAGAAACGATTAGGCTAAGCGCATTATGGAAAAATGATATGGAAGATGGTAACATAGGTTGGTAGTGGGGAGTCTTGTTTTCGGCGTATTTTAATCCCCCCATTAATAAATCAACGTTTGCTGTCTTGTTCATGGTCTTCTCGAAATATGCCGAACAGAATTAGTGTAATCATACCAACGTAGATAAATACAAAGCTTTTGAAAGGACAAGTCATAATAAAATGTATTCGGAATAAAATATTGTAATAAATTACTCTCAACAGTTCACTCATGATAGGCAGTGGTGTGATTAACGTACTAAGAAGCCCCACAGAGACTCTTATGCAGTCTCGGCTTTGACCATTTAGTTCCATATTAATACCCTAGAGGGAAGTCTGGTGCTAGTGTCATGGGAGCTGCAACGCAGGGCACCCCGGCAAGCATGGGAATGATGGGTAGTACATCTGCGTTCTTTACGTTTCGTTTGGATTCGCGTGGCTTGAAGCTGCTTTGTCACAAAACAATGACCAGCAAATGTTCGGCAGTTGCGCTTCATCACCCGAGTATTTTAGGGTCACCAATTCAAATGAGGTCACCAAGTTCCCAATGGTTTGTTTTTTCATTCGAAACAAAACCGAAACACAGCGATAAACGAGGCCACAAGTGTTTTTGCCGCGTGCAAGCACGAAGACTAGGCAAACCAGTGTACTGACCGTCATTCCCGTGGTCGCTGATTAAATCACAGCGCCAGAGTCCCCTCTACCTAATTTCAGGAAACTGCATGCCTTCAACGCCTTGAAGGTCATATCTATCGCCGTGTTCTTTTTTTTAGTCGATGTATTATATCATCCCACCAATCACGGGAGCTATTCAAAGTCACGATGTAACGTGATTACGTCGCCGTGTAAATCACTATGTGGCTTCATGAGAGCGTCACGAAATTTGGCGGTCTGTGACGTCATGAAGACGTCGCAAATTTTGGTTGTCTGTGATGTCATGAGGACGTCATTATGTGATCATTTTTTGCATCTCTTGTGTTGCCGCTAGCGAAAGGACCTACCGACGGTAAATTTTCTTGTTCGATGAGAAATATAAGGTTGTTGCCTTAAAATATTGAGGCTTATTACCAGGTGGCAAAAACAGCAATTACCAGCCAAAGGGGTAAAAAAAAACAGTAAAAGAGTGTTGTTCATCCCTTTCCTAGCCTTTTCCACAGCTTTTTTGCTACTGTTTGCCGTACCGTACGATCGGTGTCAATCGGAACACTAAGACCGGAACGCGTTGCCGAACCATTAGGAACCGTTGACGGCCCTGAGCTTTTGATTAGGCAGCACTGCTCGATAGAAAGCATGAATGGGGCTCACGAGCAGCAAACCGCAAGTGGGTTTCTATCTAATCACACGGTTGTGAACTGTTTTGCACGCACCACGGTCGGCAATTTATTTAGAGCCGATAGTACGTGTACGAAATGGTTTAATGAGCACCCAACTCGCCCAATCTACGCTAGTAGTCCGCAATACCCACTGTTAAATGAAATTATCAATTCAATGTTGTCGGCAAACATTTTGCGGACACATAACAGGTCCAAATGACAAATGTGGGAGTCAACAGTGAATTCTGGCTCAACTTCACAACAGCTTTTTTCAATTAGCCATAAAACTGATCGCACTTCGCTTCCAAAACAGTGCACGCGCTTGTTGAATCGCTTGAAGGCACGTTAGTGCTTTTCAGTAAGCTTTTTAGACGCCATCTGGCCCACTGAATGGGGCTAATAACTCAAAAAAATGACTGTGATTGCAATGGCTGT